GTCTTTTGTGCAGCAGATTTGCTGAATGCAATAAGTTGTTTTGTTCCTTGACGGCTGCTTGCATGGGCATTGATTGTGGATCCAAGTAGAATGAAATCTTTGAGAATGTCAACTTGGAAACCTTATGGATAACAACAAAAGGGAGGTGGTCCCCACCTTCTTTGGGCTTGGTTGCTGTGGTCTATGCTTTGTTTGCCTCAGTGACCTTGGGCAGATCTAGAGACATCAGGACTCTGTAGTTTCCTACTTGTGTTCCAAAGAGCAGTGAACACAGACTGGCACAGTTTGGCAGGAATTAGGAAAGACGTGAAGACTGGGAAGAATTGCAGGATATAGTCCAAGTTCAGAGTTTTTCCTTGGGACTCTTTCTGGGCAGTATGCCATTTGGAAATATTTGTTAAAGGCTTAAAAAATGGCAGTTGATGTACCCCCGTTTCCACAGCCAGCACACGAGACCACAGTATCTCATTTGTGCTAACTTGCTTTCCGTTTGCTCTTTTTCCTTGGCAGTGAGCGACCTTCAAGAAGAAGGCAAAAATGCCATCAACTCACCGTTGTCTCCTGCCTTGGTGGATATTCACCCCGAAGACACCCTGCTAGGTATGATCGGTTCTTCCAACTCCTTGTCACAAGCTGGTAAAGTTTTCAGGGCATTCAATTGGCATTGGTAAAACTGACAAGCAGTGCCCTTTTGAGAAGACATCATACTGGGTGGCATTTGAGAGTTGCACTCTGCTGAAGGTCATGTTTAGAAAAGTCTGTAGATAAAAAACGAATGCTCCTTTGTAAGTTTCAACCTTAATTTTTGGTTGAGTTGGCATTCTTCCAAGGCCTGGGCCTTGCTGGAGGTGAGGGGTGGATTGAAGGACTGCCATGTGGCTCAGACCTCCACCTCAGCAGCCTTGAGGCCGTGTCACAGGCCAGTATTAATGAGATGACAACCGGATACATTTTCCTTAAAGTGTGTTTTGGGATCTGATCAATTTGGAAGGCTGTTCTGGAACATTCCATTGATTTCCAGAACCCGGTTCAAAGGGAAAACCCTGCTGGATCCCTTTTTTGTGGTTTCCACCCAAGGCCAGGCCAGCAAGAGGCTGTGGAGAGGAAACACAGATACATGTCCACGCTGGCTGACCCCAAGCCAGATGTTGGCTGTGCTCCGAAATTCCGTTGCCCGTGGGAGTCTTATTTCCTTCCTCCAGAAAGATCGTAACTCTGTATTGTTGCTCTTGGTTGTCTCTGGTCTGACTGAAGCTGGTTTCTAGACTGCTGCTCCTGGGAGACCCTTACCAGCGGGAAGAAACAGCCCAGCATGTGGGTCTGGATCTTGACCTGCCGTGGTTCATGGACTTGAGAGCAGATGGTGTCAGTACTATTGACATTTGGGGTCAGAAAACCCTTTAGTGGAGTCCTGGTGTGGCACTGGGCATAATGTGCTGGACCACAAGGTCAGTTTTAACTGCAAGGTCAGTGGTTCAAACTCACCAGCTGCTCCTCAGAAACCCTATAATGAGTCCGACCTGACTTGACATCACATAGCCACCACCACCAGCAGCAGCTCTTTCATGGTGCTGTAGGATAGGCACTGGACTGCTACTGACAAAGTTGACTGTTCAAATCCACCAGCCATTCCTCAGAAACCCTATACAGGATCGCTATGAGTTAGAACCGACTTGACTGCACTTAACAACCTCCACCCTTTAGTGGAGTCTCTGGGTGATGCAGACAGTACACATGCTTGGCTTTTCACTGAGAGACTGGAAGTTCAAGCCCACACGGTCTTAATGTGCCTTGGAAGAAAGACCTGGCAATCTATCCCCCTCGCCCCGCCCCCCAAAATACAACCAAAAAAACCCAGTCATTGAAACTTTATGATGCACAGCTCTCACTTGGGCATGCATGAGTTGGAGTTAATTTGCTAGCAACTGGCTCTGTTTCCTTGTTTAGTTCTTTAGTGTGGGAGCAGCTGTCCTGTGCATCCCAGTAGCACCTCGGGACCCCACTTGCTAGATACCAGTATCACTTCCCCTCTGAGTCAGCTCCCACTCCTGGCGAATCCTCTGTGTCAGATTAGAACTATGCTTGATGAGGTTTTTGTTGTTTGAGGTTCTTCCAGATTGTCCAAGGTGCTTCTGGGTGGATTCAGCTGCAGGTGGCACTCGCTGTCTGCTAATCATTTGCACCACCTGGAGA